GATAACAGAAAATTATGTTATCGATTTTTAAGTATTTAATTTTTATGTGAGTGAACGATTAGATATGATTTTCAAGTACAGTGTTAAATATACATATAAAACATTCGCTGGGTTACTATTGTTCCTACTTACATGTATATTAACGGACATATAAAGGATCTAATATTTTGATTAAAATAATAATCATTTTTCTTTTTAATTTCGCCAATTTCATTTAAAATAAAATATGTATCTACCATTTTTTTCTTGTTATTGATTAAAATTAAATTTCTTTGCAAAGTTGTTTAAAAAATTTTTATTTATACATACATATGTATATCAATGACATCTAATATTTATAAATTAGCACAAAAAGAGATAAGACAATCTTTAGTTTTGTGAATTTTTATGATATGATACGATTTTTATTTATTTTAAATAGAAAATAATATGACGCCATTAATCATTTATTAACTTGTTTGTAAATTAGAAAAATGTCGGCAAATTAATTATTAAGAATTGAATATTGAAAAAATTTTGTGATTCTGCACCTAATAATTTATATGACAAGGGAAATAAATTATATTTTTTTATGTAAATATTTGTTCATTTCACTTTTATCATAATAAAACTTTATTATATTTATGTTACTATTCTATGTACAGGGTATTTCAATGTTAAGTGTTAATTATGGGCGAAGTTCAAAAGTAGTTTAAAAATCCTATATATATGTATGTATGTATGTATGTATGTATGTATGTATGTATGTATGTATGTATGTATGTATGTATGTATGTATGTATGTATGTATGTATGTATGTATGTATGTATGTATGTATGTATGTATGTATGTATGTATGTATGTATGTATGTATGTATGTATGTATGTATGTATGTATGTATGTATGTATGTATGTATGTATGTATGTATGTATGTATGTATGTATGTATGTATGTATGTATGTATGCATGTGTATGTATGTATGAATGAATGTATGTATGTATGTATGTATGTATGTATGTATGTATGTATGTATGTATGTATGTATGTATGTATGTATGTATGTATGTATGTATGTATGTATGTATGTATGTATGTATGTATGTATGTATGTATGTATGTATGTATGTATGTATGTATGTATGTATGTATGTATGTATGTATGTATGTATGTATGTATGTATGTATGTAAGTATGTATGTATGTATGTATGTGTGTGTGTGTGTGTGTGTGTATGTATGTATGTATGTATGTATTTATCCATGTATGTATGTTTAGCGCTCTTACAAATGTACTATCGATAGTGTAACTTATAGACTTATAGTCTGTTCTTTATATAGTCTTGAGGATTGACTCGCCTACTATTCTATGTACTAGTCTATTGACTTGCATTTGGACTAGTCTATTGACTAATCTATTAAATAGTTTATGGGTTTATCTATAGACTAGTCAATGACTACTTTCTTAGCCTAGTCTATGGACTAGGCTATTGCCTACCAAATTGATTAGCCTATGTTCTAGTCTATTAACTACTCTATGAATCAGTCTTTGCACTAGTCTATTTACTAATCTATTGACTAGCATATGGATTTATCTATAGTCAATGACTAGTTTGTGGACTATTCTATTGACTAATCTATGGACCAGGTATGGTCTAGTCTATGGACTAGTCTAGGGACTTGTCTATTAACTAGTCTGTGGACTAACCTGTTGACTAATCTATTGACTAGTCTATGGTCATGCATATGAACTAGTCTATGGACTAGTCTATTTAATAGTCTATGGACTAATCTATTGACTAGTCTATGAACTAGTCTATGGACTTGTCTATCGACTAGTCTATAGATTTGTCAATGACTAGGCTATATACAGTTTTTTTAATAAAATATTATTGCAGTTCTCTCAAATGGCTAGCTTCCCTTCTTCACAATAACATGCATAATAATAAACTTATAAATTATACATAATTTAACATTATCATATAATATTTGTTTTATTGAACTACAACACTGAAATATATACATCATGAGTATGAGTAATATTAACTAATTAAAACTAAATTGCTCATACGTTATCAGTAACAGCTGCTACATTGTGTTTCAAAAAAATACACATAATAAATTTTTAAAAAATTGTATTATTTTCCTAAAGAATTTGAAGCGTAAAGATTAACTAACCACTTGTTTCTATAAGACGTTAAACTATTTTTCATTGTATAAAAGTGAGAATTAAAATTTGTAAACATTTACAAAAAGGGATAAAACTTATAAAATAAGTTTGTAAATTTAAATTTTTTTCTAAATATTACACACATTATGGATATATAGAACATAATTTAATTATAGAATTTATTAATATCTAGACTTTATGCATTTAAGAATTAATTAATAAATTTTTTTAAAATTAACTTATCACAATTTTTCATAGAATAGGGGATTTTTGTTATACATAATATGTATGTATATCTTTCTATCTTTTTAAAAAGATTATATTGTTTAAACTCACTTCCATTTGTAGCACAACTAATTAACAAGATAACATATAAAAGCATCTGGCTAACTAATTTTAATTTGTTTATCATTATTATTCTTTTTTTGTGTTATTTTTTTTTTTAATTATTTTCTTTCGATACACGGAATATTTAATTTATCCGTAACTTTTGCTTTGCTTTATTTTCACCATTAATCTTCAAATCGAAATTATAACTGTCGGTACGTTAAATTATTACAAAAATTTTGGGTTCTTATGTTATATTTTATATACAACACGTTATTAGCTCAAGAATAACAACAAATTGTTAAAAAAAAATATTGTATATCAGCAAAAAAAAAAGGTAACGATTGACTCAAATATGGTTAAACGACGTTTCTTATCGCGATATCTTATCACAAAACTAAATGAATATTATTCGAAAACAAAAAGTAAGTCATGAAAATTATAACGATAAAGTTGTTGCCGGTTAAGGTTTAGAAAAAAAATTAATTGTGAATTTTTTCGGCAGAATTTGTTTTAAATTTTGGTAGTAAAAAAATCCCCAAGTGTCAATTTTTGAGTCATAAATTTCGATTTTTTGCTACAAATAGTAAAAATGAAAGTGTGCTCACGTCTAAGAAATTGCGAGTAAAGCGAAAATACTTCAAAAAAAATATAGTGAAGATTATATTGAATTAGGAAAGAAAACAAAATGATAATGTGGCTCAAATTTACGAAAAATGCTCAATTTACCGAATATATATTATTTTTCGGATAGAAACCTTATTAGTTAAATAAAATTACTTATTCAGGCTGCTAAATTTAGTTTACTCCCAATACAAAATATTTTTCATAGAATAGTTTGGTAAAATTGTATTCCCCTAGATCCTATTAGATCGGTTTAAGGGTCTACAGCCGATTTTTGGTTTTTCATATAAAAATCGATATTTTGTGGAAATATGAGTGATGACAGATATGCTTTATTTTGCCAATTGGAGAGGTATTTAAGTGGCCTCCGGTTGGTTAGTGTTCTAGTCTGGTAGACCGGAGGTGGTGAGTTCGATTCCCACCTGAGGCACTGGTTAAGGAACGCACAACAGGCCCGTTAGAGGCCTCGGTGTATTTCTTCGGATTTGATGTATATACATCCTCCTTTCAAACTAACTAACTAAGGACCTATAGTCGATTTTATGTTTTTCATATAAAAATCGATTTTTTATGAAGAGTATGAGTGATCAAAAATTTTCCTTATGTTGTCGATTGAAACGTTATTTAAGGATCTACAGCCGATTTTGCATTTATCATATAAAAAAACCATTTTTGTTAAAAAAAATATATGAAAAATGTTTTCACTAGTTTTATAACCATTACATCTGTAACACATCGAAATATTGGTCATAGGCTCACAAAGGTATGTTATGGGTCCTTAGTAAATTCTAAGACGATCTAGCTCTGCCCGTCCGTCTGTCTGTTGAAAGCACGATAGAGTCCGAACGGGAAGAGCTAGAGGGTTGAAATGTAAGGTTTGCTAGGTATTGAAAATGGGCAATATCGATCCACGTTTTCGGATAGCCCCCATATAAACCAGCATTAAGGGGCTGTAACTGTTTTTAAAGTACAAGTATAGCGATGAAATTCGACATAAATAAGTTTCATATGAAAATCTCTCTGCCAAATTTTATGAGGATCGGTCCATAATTGATCCTATCCCCCATATAAGTTCCTCTTCAGAAAATGACTATAACGCTCATTACTGGTTTAAAAATACGAACATAGCGATAACATTTTACATAAGTAAGTTTCTTACGAGTCAAAACCTCTCTACTGACTTAATGAGAATCAGTCCACAATTGTCCATACCCCCCTAAAATGTCCCCTTCAGAAATTACTTCAACGCTCATTACTGGCTTAAAAATACTCCCTACCTCTCTCAGAAAATGACTATAACGCTCATTATTGGTTTAAAAATACAAACATAGTGATAACATTTTACATAAGTAAATTTCTTAGGAGTCAAAACCTATTTACTGACTTAATGAGAATCGGTCCATAATTGTCCATACCTCCATAAAAGGCCCCCTTCAGAAATTACTTCAACACTCATTACTGGCTTAAAAATGAAATTCGACACATGTTTGTTCCGAGCCAAAAACTCGACCCATTTTATGTGGTTCGGTTCATAATTGACCCTACCCCTAGTATAAGGGGGTTAAAAGTGCGAGATGAACTTCGAAACACAATCATTCTATAAAATTTGATAACAATCGGTCCATAATTGACCCTATTGCCCATATATGTATATGTTCACGGTTTCAAAATTTAACAAAAATATTTTGTTTTTAAAAATAAATATCCTGTTAATTCCAAAAGAACTCGGTCCATAATTGACATAAGCTATATTTAATTTCACAAAATCACATATGATATTTATAGGAGAGCATTCCTTTTACGGCATACTGTTTGATGGTGGGTATATGAGATTCGGTACAGCCAAATATATCACACGCACTTGTTCAAAATCTACAGATGTAATCACATATTTTTACCATTTTCTTAGTTGTAGCCCTATTTATGGATAATTTTTTATTATTTTACTTCATTACTTATTCGGTAAAATATTTCCTTAACATTAACATAACTAAAGGCATAACAAAACTTAAAAACATCGACACATTTCGATTCGCTCCATCACCACCATCATAGTCATAATAACGATAATAACTATAATTAAAAGAATTATTATTTGTAACAATCCAATTATTATAGTATGAAACATTCGTATAAACACCCGGATAACCAGGTTGAGCACAGCCTTGACCCCAGGAAACAATACCAACTAGGACACCGTTACAAACTAAAGGACCACCAGAATCACCCTGACAGGCATCGACACCACCGGTTTGCATGTAACCAGCACATAACATGCCCATCGAAAGATTACCATAATTCGTATCACAAGTGGTGTAATTTACAATGGGTACAGTGGCTTCCATTAAGACATCTGATATATAGCTCTGTAAGAGAAGTGAAACATTATTAGTGCCTAAAAGTTAGGAATGTTAACTCACATAACCCGTTGAACCCCAACCCGATACTGTACATATGGTGCCACTTGGCTCGGGTTGTGTATTTAACGGTATAGCCATTACTGTTGGCCAATTCCATGGTATATAACCATTAAATAGAAATAGTGCCACATCGTTGACAAAAGTATT